TTTTTTTTTTTTTTTTTTTTTTTTTTAATTTTAATTTATTTACTCCTATTTACCGACTGCAATTTAGAGACTAAAATACAACGTAACATAATTAATAATATATATCTAAAAATGCATATTTTTATTTATTATACTACTTAATTATTATATTCAACTAAATTAAATTTATGTTTTGGGCTGAAATATGACAGAAAAATATTTCAACAAAATTAAATGAAATAACTCAAATTATGAGTACATGCCCTCATTAATTTTCTATCGGTTGAATTTATTAATATTATTTTAAATTATTTTAAATTATAGACGATAATTTATATTTAAAATTCAGAAATGAAAAATATTATAAGCCTAACGAATCCCACTCACTCGAAAGACTCAAATCTTTTGACAAGACTGCAATTTTGTATTTTGAATATACCAAGCTTTTTTTATTTTATTTATTTTTTATTTTCTTGGGTGTCTGATTTTACACTTGTATAGCTATTTTCCACAAAAAAGATTCAAAGGGAAACAAAATGTGATCGAACTTTATTAAAATAAGATTAATTAAATTTCATAAGATATCAATTTTCTATCTATATTTCAAAATTTTCAAATTATTTAATCATAAAGTATAATTAGAACAAACACTCCTAATTAAAAAATTACATTAAATTAAATTTCCGTGCTTATCTAAAAAAATTAGAATTTAGTTTAAGAACATAAATAAACTAAAACCACAAAAATAAAGTAAAATAAGATCTAAAGAATAATTATACAATATACGGTTTATTTTTTTAAGCCTAAAATTTTCATGAGATAAAGCTAACATATGATTCATTTGGGCTGAATAAGAACCCTTGGATAAATCGGTATTAAAAAGAGTTATTTGAACTTGAATTGAACAATCGAGTGGAGAGAAACTAGAGAAAATCAAGCTAAGTTCCCGAGAGGATAGCATCTCAATGTCACTTGGGAGTCGATAAGCTATTTATATCATACACATGTAGTGTCGAGATGCTACAATTTTTCTATCGACAACGTCATGCTCCCAACGTTGTGTGTTTGATGCTTGCCATCAATGCTGACAATGTCATGATACTTTAAACATGCATGCACTCCCTTATTCATATGAAGCATCTCGATGTAATACCATAGTCTCGATGTGGTTTCGCCTAACATGCTTTTTTCCTTAATTGAAGAGAAACGTTGTTCACCTAACACACCTTTTTTCCTATTTGAAGATGTAACTTTCATACCTTATATAGTTTTTCCTCCTATAAGTCGAACGAACGTTATGTCACTATATTAGTCTTCCTAACACTTGAGAAACTCGAGAAATTCTTATCTTTATATTTCTTGCGGAGCGTTTGTAAGATATATCTCGAAATCCCCTCATATTTTGATGTAATGTCAGTTCGTTTATGTATGATTTCATGTACTCTTACAGTCACGTATAATATTAATTAGTTTGATAGAGTACGATATAAATAATAAAATAAAATCGCACATGTGACAAATATTTCAAATTTTTTTTAGGGTAGGTACTTAATTGAAGCATTTATTCACTTAGAATATCTAGCTTTTCTATAATAAAAAAAAAAAAAATATAAACGTCTTAACGGGTTGAAATTTAGGTATGAAAGGATTTATTTATACATTAATTTTAGAAAATAAAAATAAAATAGGAGTGAAAATTAGTGGATGAGAAATTTTGAAGGGCAAATATGTCTTTTCACCATAACCGAACAGAATAAAAAGACAGAGTTACAAAGAGACACCATTTTCACCGAATAAAGGTTTGGGATGAAAAAGAACGAGCCAAGGAGAAGGCCATATTTGAGAACTTTATTCAAAATAAAAAGAAAAAGAAAATAAAATCTGGCGAATCACCTCCAAACAGACGGCCCAGATTCAGCGTTGTGATTCCTCCATGATATATATATAGATAAATGTAATTTCGTTGATAGTTTTATTATATTTAAAATGAAAATGTGGGAAATGCATGTGAGGTCATTTTTTTGGAGTGTGGGCAAGGTGACGACATGTGGATTGGGCAGGAAGGGTTGCAAGTGTCGTATTACACATACTGCTGTCGTTTCTTTCCCTCCCGCCGGTCAGACACGCCTGAATCTCCGACCATTCACAGCCTCAATCCTTTATTATGGTCCTTATTCCAATGCGCATTTTTTATAAAGTCAACCCACCTTGTAAATTTCTAAACGTAAAACCATAATTATAATTAAAATCAAATTTGATAAGTGTAATTAGAGCATTTTGTATAATTAAAATTCATATTTTAATATTATTTTATTGTGGTATGAAAAGAAGAAATAATATTAATAAAATATATATTTTTTTATATTGTGATTTGAAACGTGAGCCTTCCCAATAATATTTGGCTAGTTTGGGAGTGGAGAAGATTCCTCCATTGTCCGAAATTATATTTCCCATATTTGTCTTTGTTTAAACCTAACCCTTTTTAATCTTTTACCTAAACACTAATTTTTTTTTTTTTTTTTTTTTTTTTTTATAAATTGCGTTTAATATTATTTTATATTTTTTAATTATAAAATATTATTGAATTTAATTAGTGTTTTACTTTTACTTTTTCTTTTCTTTTTTAATAAATTATCTCTTTATAAAAGAATTTTACAAAGATAAAAATTGAAATAATTTAAGAACTTAAAATTAAAAATAAATTATAATTAATAAAATCACTTTTGAATTATAATTATTTTTTAAAAGATAATGTCCAACAATATTTATTATTCAAGACAAGTGCTGAGTATTTCAGCAGTGTAATAAACTTAGTGAAAAGAAGTAAAAGATAATAAAAAAAAATACAATATTTATTCCTTTACGTTTTTGTTTTTTCTGAAAATAAGTAGAAAACAATAAAAATAAAAGAAATAACTGTAAAAGATTCTTCTTATTATTATTATTATTATTACTGTGTTTGTGATTAAAATTCAAAATTACATAAATAATTGTAAAATGACTAAACTACCCCATACAAAAAAAAAAGCGACCCTCCGAGTAACTGCCAGTTTATGCTCAGTGTGCATAACTACCCCTAGTCTTAATCTCATTTTTTCCCCACTTCTATAAATTGCAAGAGCTCTTCTTCTTCCCTTAGAGCCTTCAGACAAACAACAAAATCATTTATATATATATTTAGAGGGAGAAATTCTTCTCTACTCTTCCCTCTCGATTCTAAGCTGCCATGGGAATGAACTCCAATCGAGTTGAGAGCTTGGAATGTCGTGAAACGGTGTTGAGAATTCCGCCGGAGGAAATGTCGGCGCCTCCGCAACACACGGAGGAGATTCACAAAGTCTGCTTGCCGCCTACGCAGACTACACTTCAGAAACTCAAGCACAAGCTCTCCGAGGTGTTCTTCCCGGATGATCCGTTTTACAGATTCAAGAACCAAACGTGGTTCAGAAAACTGCTTTTAGGCCTTCAATTTCTGTTTCCTATTTTCCAATGGGGACCTGATTATACCCTAGCTCTTTTCAAGTCTGACATCGTTTCTGGTCTCACAATTGCTAGCCTTGCTATTCCTCAGGTATGATCAATAGTAAGAACCTCCATGCAAATTCAAATCTCTGTGTAGTTCTGTGTTCTTCTGGTTAGGATTTAGGCTGGGTTTTAGCTCGACTTATCTATGGAATGTAGATTTTGTTTCTATTTTTTCTTTTTCAAACTTGGTCAAATTTAATTTAATGCTGTTTTTTTTTTTTTTTTATGTTTATTAGCCTTCTGAAAATGTGCTTTCTCCATTTTTGTTTGATTTCTGTAGGGAATAAGTTATGCGAAACTTGCGAATTTGCCGCCAATCATCGGTTTATGTGAGTATAATTTTTGTTTCAATGCTAAACGAAACTAAACCAGAAATTGAATTCGATTTGCTGAGTCTTTGTGCGGTTTATTGCAGATTCAAGCTTTGTGCCTCCACTGATATATTCTGTTCTCGGAAGCTCTAGACATCTTGCTGTTGGTCCTGTTTCTATCGCCTCTTTGGTCATGGGATCGATGATCACTGAGGCAGTCTCTTTTAATGAACAGCCAACTCTCTTTCTTAAGTTAGCTTTTACAGCCACCTTCTTTGCTGGTGTATTCCAAGCATCTTTAGGTTTGTTAAGGTATAAAACTAAGAACAGTTGAAAGGGAAAGGATGAATTCCCAATAATTTTCTCTGTTTCTGAGATTGTTTTTCATTGAATTCATTGGTTTTGGTGTTCAATTTGTTACAGGCTAGGCTTTGTCATTGATTTTCTGTCAAAGGCTACTTTAGTTGGGTTTATGGCTGGTGCAGCAGTCATTGTGTCATTGCAACAGCTCAAAGGGTTGCTTGGAATCATCCATTTCACCAACAAAATGCAATTTATTCCTGTCATGTCGTCTGTCTTTCACCACAAAGATGAGGTAAGTGCTTGCTGCATTATGGGTTAAGAAAAGGAGACGAAATGAACAAGCAACCAGATGAATAGTTCACAATAAAGGGTTTTTTTTATTTTTTCAAATATTCTTTTTAAAGATGCCTTTAGTAAAAGCCAAAGTCGGTTCATCCATCAAAACTTGTTAATATAGAACGAATCTTGATTTGTATTGCATAGTAGAGGATTTTTTTTCATGGGTTTGATTTTGATATTCTAGAAGTTCTTGATGGGGCCTCTTTTTGTTCCTTTCTTTTTCTAACTTGGTGCAATTAATGTGCAGTGGTCTTGGCAAACTATTGTTTTAGGCTCCATTTTCCTACTCTTTCTTCTGGGAACGAGGCATATAGTAAGTGGCTTTATGTTTTTCACAAATTTTATCATTACTGTAATTTTGTTTAGAAAATTAACATAAATCACAAGAACAATAGTTCTGGTTCTAATTCGTTCTATTGTACACAATACAGAGTATCAAGAAACCAAAGCTTTTCTGGATTTCAGCAGCTGCTCCACTGACATCAGTTATATTGTCCACTATTTTAGTCTTCCTTCTTAGAGAAAAAGTTCCTGGAATCTCAGTGGTACGAACGGATACTTTTAAACTTCGAATTTGTACACTGAAACTGATATCAATTTCTGGAGGATGCTTCACTTAAACCACATATTGATTTTCTCTTTTGGTGTTCTTTTGATAGATTGGTCATTTGCCAAAGGGCATCAATCCACCATCTTTGAACATGCTGTACTTTACTGGTCCTCAGTTGGCACTTGCCATAAAAACTGGCATTATAACTGGAATTCTCTCGCTGACTGTAAGTACTTGTTTTCACAAAGATGTTAATACAGATTATAGTCATGACTCGGTGGCTGAACAATCCTTTTTTTGTTTTTTTTACAACATTAGGAAGGAATTGCCGTAGGAAGGACGTTTGCTGGTTTGAAAAACTATCAAGTGGATGGGAATAAAGAAATGATGGCCATTGGTTTTATGAACATGGCTGGATCTTGTTCTTCCTGCTATGTTACAACAGGTGTTCGTTACCGTCCTCTACCGTACTGTCTCGAAGACGTTATTTGGTGTTGCAACTTAAAGAAAATAGTAATTAACTCTTTGGTTTGGGATCAATGTTTCAGGGTCATTTTCTCGGTCGGCTGTGAATTATAATGCCGGGGCACAAACAGCAGTCTCAAATGTAGTGATGTCTGCAACCGTGCTCATAACGTTGTTGTTTCTGATGCCACTGTTCCATTATACTCCAAATTTCATCCTAGCAGCCATCATTATAACAGCAGTAATTGGGCTCATTGATTACCAAGCAGCCTGTAGGCTATGGAAAGTTGACAAGCTTGATTTCGTAGCTTGTGTTTGTTCTTTCTTCGGCGTTCTTTTCATCTCAGTTCCGTTGGGTCTTGCCATTGCAGTAAGTTTCCTGATTGCTATGGAATTAGTTTATTATTGAACTGTAACAGGTCATGCCATTAACACATTGGTATTTTCAGGTTGGAGTATCTATTTTCAAGATTCTTCTGCATGTCACGAGGCCGAACACCATGGTCTTGGGGAATATTTCTGGGACTCAAATATTCCAAAACATTGACCGATACCGAGAAGCCTCAAGGGTGCCTTCGTTCCTCATTCTTGCCATTGAATCTCCAATCTACTTTGCAAACTCGACATACCTACAAGAAAGGTGAGCTTGATATAATATAAATCTTCTATATATCTTGTGGATGAGTCTGCTGGAGCAATAATTTCACCAACAACATATCCATCCTGTCTTGTGTGCAGGATTCTAAGGTGGATTAGGGAAGAGGAAGAGAGAATAAAAGCGACGAACGACAGTCCACTGAAATGTGTAATCCTAGACATGACAGGTACGTTGAGTAAACAATTTTACTCAGCTGGTAGAAAAGAAGCCTTTGTTCAAGATTATCCCGCCCGTAAAGTTCGCTCACACTTATCATATGTTTTTCTCAGCTGTGACATCCATAGACACAAGTGGTATAGAAGCAGTATGTGAAATTAGGAAGATCTTGATGCAAAAATCACTACAGGTAAGATCCATGTGGCTACAACTGCTTCACAACCAAAACGTTTTCCATGAAAATTTTCACTGATTGACATTTCTGTATTTGTTTCGTTTCGTTTAGTTTGTTCTTGCAAATCCAGTTGCAAGCGTGATGGAAAAACTGTATAAATCAAAGGCCTTGGAGCAATTCGAGTTTAACGGTCTCTACCTCTCAGTCGGAGAAGCTGTGATGGACATTTCTTCTTTGTGGAAGAGGCAGCCATAACATATCTTCAAGGTTAGCATGGGGGAAAGAGTGTGAAAGAAATAGATAGATAACTGGTCGATAAGGAGAGTTTTTCCTTTTCCTCTTAGGATTATGAAAACACACTCCATCATTTAGCTAGCAATTAGAAGAGGCAATGAAATGTTTTCAACCCTTTGCTCTTATCTTGACAATGAGGCTAACACACACCAATTACCTTCAAGCAATCTCAGAGTTGTTTAGTTCAGTGTCTAAAATGTTTAGAGCAAAAGCTTAAGAAAATTTTGTACTTTCATTATTACATCATTTACAAATTCTCACAGGAAAAATCAGTGCAGAACTATAATTTAGTGCTTCTAAGTTAATAAAAAAACTCAAAAAGTGGATGAACTTTAGCCTTTAGGAAAGAGAGGCATCTTATACAAAGCTTGAAGCATTAGCCTCATTGAAAAAACAAACAAAATTAAGGTTATGCTGATTCCAAACTACATTACAGTATTCAAAAGTTAGACCACCAAAAGGGACCCTTGAATAATTTAATGATCTTAATCGAATATTTGACCATTTAACAGCTCGTTCAGCCACGCAACTTTATAAGATTGTGATTCAATAGCTAATAAAAACATATTTGAACTTGTGAAGCATTGCATCGTTCTTTTTAATTGTGTGTGCAATCTGATCGTGGAAGAAGTGGACACTTTCAATTATTGCCTACAAATCTTTATAAGATGCTTCGAAGCGTAAGAAGAACGCTTAAAGCAGTACCAAAAATAAAGAAACAGAAACCATATAATGGTGACAATGAAGGCCTTTCATCAAGAGGAAAGCAAGAGTATCAAAGCAATAATAGAAAACAAAAGCAATCCAACAGAAGTCTCCTTTAGTTTCCATATTAAATTCTGATTATCATCATGGCTTTTCACTGTCATTGAAACTTCAGAAGAGCAAGAAAGAAAGAGAATAAAGAAGTTTCCTTTCCAAAATAAGCTGTAAACTCATCCGTGTGAGGAGTTAAAAGAGAAAAGAACAAATGAATCGAGCTCTTATAGGCATTAGTCATAGCCTTTTTGTCCATTGAAAGTGAGCTCTTTCCCCCAAGAACTTCCTGGAACTCATGTAAACCCTCCAATCATTTGAAACACTAGTTTATAATAATCCAGTGCACCAATAATGCCAGTTTTTCCAATATCTCAAAGAGATTCTTCTTCCTTGATACTAATTTGATCTGGCTAGGCAGATTTAATAAGATAGGCCACTGAAATTCACACACATCAACAGGTGGTTCTTGCAATTTGAACTTCCCTAAAAGCTCAAACATCTGCACCAAAATATGATCAATGTTATATGGTACAACTAAATCTGCTTCTCAGTGAGAGGGACAAAAACTTATGACCACTCAGATGTGATCCAACCCTTTTATGTACATATCAGAACATGTTAAACTCAATTGAAAATCCAAGCATAAAATTTGTGTAGTAGCAAGTATGTTTTGTTTTGGCAGTCTATGTTAGTTGTTACTACTATGAATTATGAATGTCAAAGAAGATTCTTTTGTTCATTTCATTGAGGAAAGAAGCCTTACTCGAACGCAATCGTGTTATAGGAATCTCTCGCAGTTCACGTTTGATACACAGATATTCACCCAGCAAAGACATCACTACAAGCCCTGTACCATTCACAACCCACCATGTCATTGACGAAGGCCACCCTCCATAAGCGATACAGATGAAAAGGTGGAGTATATAGAGTGTGGCCGCAAAATCTAAGCACTTCTTTGCTCTTTCAATCAAATAAACCAAAAATCCTGCCCTGCATCACAATAAAATAGTAATGGTGAGAGAAGCTGACAACATAAACAATATGAAGATAAAGAAAAATATTCAAAACCGACTACTTAAACGCATTTGATAAGCTTAATTTTCAAAGAAATTCATGAGTGGAAGTAGTGGTTATAAGCTTAATTTTCAAAACTTTCCAACAAATTCTCCGGTTTGGAAGAGAGTATTATTCTCATCAGGGAAACGTAACAATACTATAGAGGTGTCGCTTAGGGTAACATTCAACCGAATCAAGATCAATTAGTCGATACCATTCCAAAACTATGTTACTATTCCCAACCCCGAGCCCAATTCAAAACACCATTTAGGAAAAGCTTCCATTCTGTAGAGTTTCATATATTTAAATGTTTACCATGTGAATTTCTGCTATGGCAACAGACAAAAAACATTGAAATTCACATCAATTGCAGAAGGAACAGAAAATAAGATACAGCAAACCATTAAGAAGAACAGCCTTCGACATCAAAAAGTTACCATGCAATTACAGGTTACAACAAAAAATGGCCTCATTACATAATTAGAGATAAGAACAAAATCATTAATATTGACATTCAAAACAAACCATTTTCATGGTTAACAAAAAAAGCAACATCAGCGAGGGTGATTAATCTATTTAATTCCAAATAATCTAACAATGGTTCGATATCATGCAACTTCTCCAAACCATTGCCAATTATTCCTAACAATGCAATGCATAGTGATTCAAACAACATATGAGGTGAGGAGATTCAAATGAACATGGTGGAGAGATTCTTGGTCAAGAGTGTATGCATCAACTAGTCTGTGGTTATATACATAATACTGAATATGGAGGAGAAAAAAAGTAAAACAGAGTTCTTACCCAGCAAGCGCAGTTAGCAGGAATGAAGCAATAACACACAAACCAGTGGTCGTAGAGACAGTTAGTGTGGCATAATCAAAGAAGTAAACAAGGCTGATCCGAGAAACACGAGTCCCAACTAGGGTCGCCAGAAAAATGCCAAGAGTCAGGTAATACAAACATTGAAGGCAAACAATTTGGGCAACAATTAGCCATGGATCCCATACCAATGCACCATAGAACATGACTTCACCACTCACTCGGTCCTAACTTCAACAGAACCCAACTTCTTTCAGTATAAACCAAATATAAATTACGAACTCGCAACAATCAAGGACTTATTATCTGTGCTTATCTATCCTTTTCACGCTCTCAAATTGACAATGAAATCCAACATATGCCCATTTCTGTACGTGAATTTGTCGTCCCTTCGGAATAGAACTCCCTAAAATCTTCGTAACGATAATTTTACGATCTCGTCTCATTCGATCTGAAACAAACAAATCCTACATCCACCCATACTAAAAGCCAAACAATATGTATCTAGAGTAACATTCAAAATCAAAGAGAGAAGTGAATCCCAATTCCCTAAAAAAATCAACCCTAGATATCAAATAAATTCCAATTCCCTACAGAATCTAACCCTAGAAATCAAATAAATCCCAAATTCGCTAATACAACGAACGCACCGCAATGCGAATAAGAATAAGATCAAACATGAAACATGTAAAACCGTCAATCTTAAGATCGAGAAGACACAAATTGAAAGCAGCCGTCCCCGAAATTCAGGCTTTCGAGCAAATTTCCTTCCCCTTTTTTCTTCTGAAATTTTAGGTCGTGTTGTTCTGCTCCGGAAATTTTCGTTTGTGGAGATGCGCTACAGTTGTAAACTTGTGTAAAATCCAAGCTTTCATTACTTCCAGAGAGCAAATGTTACTACGTTGGTAATTAGTCTAAATTACTGCACTTTGGGCCCCACAATTCATTCTCTTTTTAATTAATTCAAATTCATATGTAATATATTAACTTTTTTTTTCATAAGAAATTAAAAAATTAACTTCGAGGACTTCGAGGACACCGTTAGCAAATATTATTCGATTTAGTCTGTTATGTATCGTTTTTAGCCTTATGGTTTTAAAATGCATTTAGTATGGAGAGATTACAGGCCAACGCGGACAATATGTGCTTGTGATGGACTTGAGCTGTTACACAAGACATGTGCCAACGAGGACGCTCGCCTCTCTAAGTAGGTGAATTGTTGAAGAGGGAAACAAATCATTCCTTATAAACGTGTGAAAATTTCTACCTAAATATATGTGTTTTAAAACCATGAGGCTAACAACAATATGTTACGAACCAAAACAGAAAATATTTGCTAACGGTGGACATGGGCGGTTACAAAGTATCAAAAGACAGGTTTTCAATATAAGTATGTTCCCGAGAAATAAGGAGCTAACATTGCAAATAAACTCTCCAACTTCTCTCGAAAAGAATCATAAACATTTGGATATAGGAAAAGAAAAAAAAGTTAAAGACCTTTTGTTTTTCCTATCCCTACCGACCCGAGCCGACCCCATTCTCCTGTTCCGACGAACAAAATGATTTTTATACCCTTTTTGGTATCTCCATGCTGCAGTTTTTCCGAAGTTCAGTGTCATTTTCGTAATATCAGATTGATTTTGTGGATCCACATGGATATTAACAACATGAACATTTGGCATTGCACTTTAACCACAAAAATATCAAGCCACGTAGGATGAGGTCGGTCTAGTCAGCAACCAGCTTGTGTTATGCTGCCATGTCATTGCCTCCATCTCCTCGAAAGTTAAAACGAGTATATTGTTGAATGTAGAGTGAGCTCAAAAAATAAAACTATTAAAGGGCCTGCAAGGAGCCACGGCCCAATAACAACCATCGAATAACAACAGCCCAATAAGATTCCAAATGACATTTCGGCCCATTAGCCACCACTTAAGGCCCAAATAAAAGGCCCAAAAAAACGAACTAGTAAATTTCTACGTACGTTAGCAGCAACCTGATGATATCCCTTGTCTTGCTCCCTCGTCTGTTCTCTTGTTTGTTTCGAAAGCCTTATTTCATCCATCTTTCTTCGAATCCTTTCGTACTCCAGCTTTAAGAACAACAACAAACTTCAGCTTAATCGCGCAGCTCCATAAATCTTGGATTTCTCACATCGATGCTTGAGGTAAGAGCTTGTGGCCTCTGGTATTCTCGGAATCTTGGTTCATCTTTGAAATTAGGGCTTTTAGAGAACCACAAAGTTTTATGTTGTATGTTGTTTCAATCTTCCGTTCGAATTGGCGTTATGGAGCTATGTTCGCTCGATATTGTCCTGGAGTCGAGAAGGTAGAGTAGTTAGCTATTGATTTTTCCGCTCTCTTCTCGTCGATGAATTGAGGTTTCTCGCATCTCGAATCTTTTTCGGATCTTGGACGAGATATAGGGATTTGAGGGAAGGTTTTTGTTGAGTGTTGATCCAAGACGGGTTTATTAAGAGTGAAGGAGTAAGACTATTGTGAGATCGATTGTTAAGAAGTGTTTAATCTTGTTCTGGAAAGTAAAGTTGTTTTTACTCAAATCGCAGTTTGGTTATCTGAAAATGTGGAACTAGCTCTGAGATTGTTTGCTGTTGTTTGATCTCAAATGGACGACGACAGCGGAGAAGAGAGATATCCTTTATCCAAACGTTACAGTGGAAACCATCGGGAAAGTTACAGTTCTGTACCTTTTCCAAAGGTTCCTCTCCGAGATGCTCCTTATTCAAGGCCAGTCAGCAATCATTATGTGGAAGATGATGTTGAAGATGACGATGAAGAGGATGAAGGACTGGGGGAGGAAGATGATGAGAATGATCAGAACAATGGTTTTGCTCACACAAGCGATGAAGTGGATGATGGTGATGACGAGGATGATTATGATATGGATGAAGACAACAAGCAGAACAGTACTGTCAAACTAGATGCTGATTTGGAAAGACACCCCAAGAAGCGGCGTTTGAAGAGCTTGGCATCAAGTTATGAACTTGCTCCTCGTGTTCCAGCTCCATCATCTGTTACTCCTGCTCAAAAATTATTTGTTGGGGGCAGGAATTCATTGATGGATTGGAATGAACATGAAACAGTTGTTCTGCTAGATGCGTGGGGCGAACGGTTTCTTCAACACGGGAGGAAAAGTCTCCGTTCTGAGGAATGGCAAGAGGTTGCTGAGAAGGTGTCCGAGGTCTCTAAGATTGAGAGGATGGACACACAATGCCGAAACCGCCTTGATACATTGAAGAAGAAGTATAAAAAGGAAAAATCGAAGTCGACAGAAATAGGTGGTTCTACCAGCAAATGGGTTTACTTTAAGAAGTTGGACATGTTAATGTCTTCACCCCCAAACCAAGGAGGCCTATCGTGTGGCTTAGACTCGGGGGAGTACGTGTTCATGAACCCTAGAGCTTATCTAAACCGTGCAAATGGGTTCGATGAGATGAGAGATAGCCCCGAAAATTCGGAATCTGATGATGATGAGGATGACGAACTCGATGGACTTCCGCCGAAGAAAAGGATGTATGGGAGGAACCGTTGCGATGGGACTTCATTCAGGATGCTAGCCATCTCCATTCACAAGTTCAGTGAGATTTATGAGAAAATAGAGAGTAGCAAAAGACATCAAATGATTGAGTTAGAGAAGATGAGGATGGATTTCTTGAGAGATTTAGAGTTGCAGAAAAGGCATATTATGGAGAGAGCACAGGCTGAGATTGCGAAACTTAAGCAGGGCGACAACAACGATGACGGGGACTGCAGTGCCCCTGCCAAGAGTACCAATGGATAATGTAATCTATGTCATTGATCATATGCTGTTTGTATAATAGATGGGAGGCCCCTTCCCCTATTGATTTCTGATCAGTGCAATATATTCGATGGAACCTTTCTTACATGTGACAGCAATGACACAGCTCTGCATTTCATGTTCCAATTCGCTGATTGCCCAGAAGAAAATGGATAGACAAAACGGATCATTCCTAAACCAATACGGCCAAGGGTACCATGCTCTTTCACAAGGCTAGATGGTTATGTGATGTTACTAATTACAATGGAGTTGGGCAGGAAGATGGCATATTCAGATCAAAGAAAATGAGCAAAAATGATCCATTTAATAATTCTTTTTGGAGTTCAAAATAGTATAGAGAATAACCGTAAATGCAGAAAAGACGAGTATGAGCCTCGGCAACGAGAGGCCATTAATAACACTAACATTTCTCTGAAAATTTTCCTCTTAAAAGAACGGATTGCTGAAAAAGACTCGCTCCAGCAAGAAAAGAAAGCCCTACCAAAAAAACAACCAAATACAAAATGCTTCACAAGTGATTCCACAAGTCAAATACAAGCCAGCCTTCCACCCACCACATCATTCATCAGCTCACCAAGTTTCAATATTTTTTTTTGGCTCGATAGTAGTTCGTCATAAATAACAAAGGCAAGCATTCCACTAGATTAAGCAGCGCTAGAAGGTTCTGGTTTTTCCGTGTCCATTGGCTCTGTAGAAGCTGAGGACACCTCAGTTTCATCAGCTCCCTTCCGCTTTGGACTTGCGCTAGCATTAGAAGTTGCACTGGCATCCCCTCCTTGCTGCTCACTGCCCTGAGGAGCTGGTGGAGGTGTCTCAGGCGCAGCTGGTTTGGGTTTCGTCATTATTGGTCTGCAAAACCTGCATGAATACATATTCCAGGCATCAGAAAACAATCAGTTGATCAACCAAACATTATTAAGTTAAGAAAAAAACAACTTCAAGAATCCTAGATCAAATGAATGGACTATGGGTTTGAATTTGAGATTACTTTATAATAAACGACTTTTATGTGAAAGCACCTCCTTGAGCACTTTTATAATAAACGACTTTTATGTGAAAGCACCTAATTAGTGATTTAAAGTAATTAGAAAGGATGGGTAACCTGTCAAGTGCTTCAGCTTTCTTTCTCACATCAGCAGAATAGAGGACTGGTGTAGAATGTTTGGGTAGAGAGTCCTGGTGCTGCTTTTTCTCTCTTAACCAGGCCTCAGCTTCCACACACTCATTCAAGACCTGCAGAATATTTTGATAAAGGGTAACGCTACACAGCCACCCATACATAAATCATGAAGAGACAGAAACAAGTAATACCTTCTGTTTTTCAGAAATGTCGATGTGGTCAAATTTAGGATCAGCTGACATTGCTGCTTCCCTGTAACTGTTGATGCAGTAAGCAAGTTGATCAATCACAGTTCCTCTCTCCGTGTACTCCTTGAAACGCTCCTCTATTGGGTTACCTTGCTGCAAATTATGTCCAACGTCAGAATGCAGCCAAAGACCACAAACAAAAAAAAGGATTAATTCTTGTAATCGATATATCATCATTTTCTTCCTGGCTGAAAACTTGAAACATATCACTTACCTTCTTCAACTCCTCAAGCTTAGCTATGTAGACTCCCTTCGTTTCATCCTCTCCGTCTTCATAAAGCCAATCTTCAACCTCCTGAAGTTTGGCAGAAAGCTCTTCTCTCTGTGAATCAGTGACGAACTCCTGGTATTTATCATGCAGCTGGGGACACAAAAAACATTCATCCGTTAAATTTCAATTCTACATTCGAGAGAGCTTATCATAAAAATATGGAAGTTGTTGCTTGCCTTGTTTCTCATTTCATATACATATGCCTCGACAGCATTTTTCTTCTCTTTGGTTTCCTCCATAACCCGATCCTGTAAAGCCATTTCAAACTCCTTTTCCACTGCCTTTTGTACATCAGCTGATGCCAATCCACCATAAACCAATTCTACCACGGGGATATTGGTTTTCTTAACCTTCTTCTTTGGTGCTTCAACCTAAATGCCAAGAGATTAGCCATGTACAACACAAAAACCCACCTAACCCACAAAATGCCATCGTCTACTTGATGCTCAAATAATGGAACATCGATATTGCTAGTGAAACAGCAAGCAAAGGTAGTCCAACTCAAAAGAACTCTGAGAGCTTTTAATTACTTATGTAAAATATACGTAACTTTAGAACATAATAATAACTTTGGGAAATTTATATATTTTCAAAAAACTATAAACATTTGTAGTGCTAATTTACTGTGTAAATAGGATAAAGTACAATTTCAGAACCTTCAAGTTATTATTCAACACAATGAAATCTGAAACCTGTACGGGATGGATTCATCATTTCCTCTAATTATGAGGAAAGAAGAAAAAGGGAAAAGGAATAGTGAAATTGCTGTTGGAATCGCCAAATCTTACTCTATGAAATATTACTTAAAAATATTTCATTTAATAAAAATGCAATTTAGGTGTGAAGGGAAACCAAAAGAAAATTAGAACCATGACGAAGGAAATAGAACGAGAAGAGGGGGAAAAAAAGGATAAAGAGAGGAGGGTATATAATAAATCAAACTAGAAAAGGAACAGAGAGTAGTATCTCTACTGCAGAAAGTACGAATAAACAAACAGCATATCTATTACTATACTTAATTATCTATATTGACAATGACAAGATAAATCTGTGGAGGAGGAGATGGAACTCCCTTTACTTACCTTGGCATCCGTCTCCATCTGGGCAGATTGGTCTCCTAACTCAGCACCACCATTCTCAGCTCCAGCATCTGTGCTTCCCTTGGCATCTTGCATGTTAACATCGTTCTCGTTAGAACTGGGAGGGGCATCAGATGAAGCTTCATCAGTCTCCATTTTAGCTGACTGATCTCTGGTGACTGGAACCTCTACTTCCTCCTCCTCTAACAGCTAAACATACAGAGATTCCCCCCTCAGAGAAGATTAAAGACAAATGTAGACCAACAATACAACGAAAAAAGACCTATAGAAGACTTACTGTGGCTGATTCAACAGAAACAATTCCGTGCAAATTAAGTCGAACCTTCACCTTGACCTTTGCCCTTCCACCTTTTGAAGATTGAAAAGGACCAATCTGGATATGCACATTACCCACAACTTAATCTCAATGATTACAAGATAGCAAATGCTCAAGCTACTCAATTTGATTGTTAACCCTCACCGTGTAGGTACTGATCTTCGCTTGCTGATCACAATCAGTATAATGTACATCAACACTAAATGTGCCAGACCTATAAAATGTAAGAGCCTTGACACTGGGTACGGGATTCCCCTTGGGGAAAACAACAGTGCTCTGCTGATTGTCCACTGCTCCATTTTGAGGATCTGAAGCAGCACCCTTCCACGAGAGAGCTATGGAAAATGGAAAGTTCTCGTTTACCTTCAAAAGAGCAAACCAATAAATCAGGGGGGAAATGCAAAAAACAGGCGTCCAGCCAAAGGTTTTTCATGACTTCACACAGGATGCATATAACAAAAATTCAGCAGAAAAACAGAAATAATATACTCAAAAATCAATTGCTAACTAATCATAATCCTCGGTACATCCTTGTACTTTCATGTTACATAGAAGTATATAAAAAATGTTCGTAGAAACCATGTTAGTTAGAGGAGAACTGTAAGGGAAAAGTTTGAGATTAGTCATCGAATCAGGCACTCTTACCTGAAATTCTCGCACTTTGAATGTGGGACTGAGGATAGCACACTGAAGGGCACAACCTCTAGCAACACACTCGCTTGCATTCATAGTACGCCTGGGCTCCTTTTTGAAGAACTCAGTCAATATTTTTATTACAGCTGGGACACGAGAACCTGAACCAACAACTTCAACAATGTGGACATTATCAACGGTAAGACCAGCTTCTGCAAGTGCTTGCTCCAAAGGTCCTTTCACACGTTCTAATATTGGAATACTTATTTGTTCGAATTCTTCCCGTTTAATGATTCCCCTCACATCTTTCTCATCCATCAAACATTCTATGTTTAAAGGTGCCACAGGGTTTGCACTAAGGACTTTCTTAAGCTTCTCACAAGCAGTGCGGAGCCTTAGACAAGCCCTTGCATTCTGATAAACATCTATTTTGTACTCGCTTTTGAACTTTTCTGCAAAGTGATGAAATAATACCTCATCAAAGTCTCTGCCACCAAGGGACTGATCAGATGAATGGGCCAACACTTTCAACTGACCCTTCTTAAAGCCAGCAATACACACTTGCATGCTTGCATGTCCAATATCAACAAATGCCACGTTCAACTGATCATTTTCAGGCAAATCAGTTTTATATATACCATAAGCCAAGGCTGTTGCAGTAGTTTCATGCATCAAGCGAAGGGGATGCAACCCTGCAATTGTAGCTGCATCTAATACAGCTCTTCTCTGAAGATCAGTGAAATAAACCGGGATTCCAATGCAGCAATCAACCACCGCGGCATTAAGATTTTTCTCCGCGATGCCTTTCAGATTTGAAAATAGCATACCCAACACCTGGGTTGGCGTAAAAGTTTTTACCTCACCCAGGTAACGGACATGAACTAAAGGAAAGCCATCAGGCCCCTCGGTTACAGAAAACGGCAATGACTGAATATCCTTTTGCAAGCTTGGTTCAGAGAATTTACGGCCAATCAATCTCTTAATCTGAGAGATCGAATTCTTGATGTTCATCATAATTGATGCTGCACCAGCTGTCCCAATAAATCGCTGCTTGTCACCAAAGCTGACAATAGCTGGAGTTTCCCGCTTGGATTCATCATTGAGAACAACATCAATACCTCGCTGCCTTGCAACAGCTACAATGCAGCTCTCGTTACCAAAATCAAAACCAACAACGCTCATCTTGCAAGAGATTGAACCGATATGTCAAAAACAATCGGCCTGTCAAAAAAAATGGAAGAACCTGAAAATATTAATGAATGTTGTTATTATCAATAGGAAAATGATATGCAATCGCATTCCCTTGAAGAGAACCGCATCAGTGATTATTGTAAAGTGTATAGTTCGCGGGAACTATTGCAGTAGCAATCAGTATGCCAACTTGCGTATTTGATCGGAAAAAATCG